ATTTAGAGCTAACAGAAGGGAGAGGTCAAGGGATTTCCTCCTTGGCTTTGCTTTGTCTTCCAGATTGTGCTGGTCATAGACCTCCTTGGTTGGAAATACCCAACTAAGGCCTTTGTCCCTTTTATCCAGTGAAGGCAGAAAGTGGGGCAAAGGGTCCTGTTGTTGTTCTAAGGCTTCTGAGGAAAATAATGCTCCAGTTCTACAGACAATAAATAGTTATGTTTCTCTGTTAATGCTAACTTTACTGGAGAGCATGTGGCATCAAGGAAGACCAAACGGATTGATCTTTACTGCTCCTGTATAATGCCTTGAACTTCTCTGCAGAGAGAAAAAGCAGCACTTAATTTAGCAAGCTAATGCTGAAAGGGCTTTATAACCTTCATTTAAATGAACCTCGGAAAAGATGTAAATAGGCCTTTATTGGGGGAGAATCTCTCTAAGTTGCAGTCTCTGTTATCCTCATTAGGAGGGTCTGGATGTTGTTAGTCATGAAAATAGTCAGATTAGTCTGATACACTCATAATACTCCAGAGTGTAAGAAATACCCCTGATGTGACCTTCTTACATCCTGGCCTGGATCAGCTGAAGGTGTTTCTGCTTTGTCTTTGGAAGGCAGGGAGAACATTTGTGCTGAATGTAGCTACCAACCTGTTACAAAAAGGATTGGGCTTGGCCAGACTGATAATGTTATGTTTAGCCTTCCTTATCCTGGATATTTGCAGCAGGACAGAGATAATGGAGGTTTGCTGGTACATGGACTCTGTGCTCCTGAAAAGTGACGTGGAAAATGTTCTGGTACCTTTTTTGTGTGCGTGTGTTTGTCCTTTCTTCCTTGACAGGGAACTTTAACCATTTGGGTTCAGCTGTGACCAATAAGACAAAACTTTTGAGTAGTATGTAGGGGAGACTGCTTGGAGAAATGTGTTAGTTTTTACTTCGGATTTTGTTTGATACTATTGGTTGTGTTAAATTCTTACACTGAAACTTAATTCTCTGTGATTTGCAGAAAGAGAGGAAGTAACTTGCACAGAATTATAAAGCTAATGGACAACTTGATAACTTAAATATGTTTAGCATAGACATTGTTTCTTGATATCATTTAACAACTTGGCAGTTATGTGATTCCTTCAAGTTTATTTCATTTTATCAACATTGTTTTCACAACAGACATGTGGCAAGCTGGTTTTCTTTCGTTTTATTTGTAGCAGACAACAAATATATCCACAGCTCTTAGTATATTGCTTTAATGTTGAAAAGGGCATAGTTGATAGTCTTGCAGTCCATGGTCCTGGTGGGAAGTTCTTCATATCAAAAGACAGGGAGTGACTGGGGTGTTTGAAGCCAAGGCACAAGACCAGAGGATGGGGAATGTGCATTCAGATCTGACTGGCTAAACCAGTCAGACTTGTGAGATTTTTAGAGTTTAGAAATGTTTGGCACTCCAAGTAATAGAAAAACAAAGTTTTCTGCAATTTTTTATCAAATAGCACTGGAGCCATGAATGAACCATAACAGGTTGATCTCTCACAGTGATGATTATATTGTGGATAAACGTATAAACAGAGTTTGGTGTGTCAGAGCAGAAGGCTGAGAGGCTGCTGCAAGGTTCTTTAAAATTCCAGATTCTCCAGTGAATTACAAACAGGACATGTTTCACAGTCAAGGTATATAAATCTCATGAATGCTGTTGGAAGTTAAACCAGCTGAGTAAAGGCTACGCTGAAATAATTTATCAATTTTCATGGTTATCAGTCTCTAAAATGTTATCAGCAGATTTATGAATTTGCAGAGATATCTCTCTTTAGTGCTATGAGAGAACTCTATTTAACCTTTAACTGCAGCTGTAGAGATTTTCTTGTTATATAACTTGTAAAATACTTAAAGCATGCTTATGGTAATTAAAACTTAGTGAAAATGGGAGATATCTGAGATAATATCAGCATGATTGTTCTAAGAAAATAGTTCATTATGTCAAGAAAATTTAAAATTAATTTCATCCACCTTACTGTAGTAGCCATGAGAGTACCTTCTTGTTGTAGATGCTGCTTTCTGGGTAAAAAATAATCCAGAAGTCAAACCTTTGCAACAGGCTCTAGGAATTGCCTATATTTGTTTCCAAACAAATTTCCTGGTCTGTGCCAAAAGCTGCTGTATATAATGATATGTATATATGATATGTAATGGTATGTGTATATGATATGTAATGGTATGTGTATAATGATGTCCCTGTGTGTCCTTTGTCAGTTGTGTCCTTTACTGGCTGTTCCACAGCAGAAAGCTGGGGCATAGAGGAATTACCTGGATGCTTTGCAGTAGTAGAAAGAGGTTTTATTGATGTGAGGTGATCAGAAAGAGCTGAGTAGCCTGAAGGAGGAAGAGAAGCTGGAAGTGAAATACCCAGAGAGTCAGGGAAACAGAAGGATGAAGTGAGCTCACTTAGAAAAGCAAAGAATGAGAAGAATATTTGGCCAAGCTTTAAACACATTATTTTGATGATTGGCATTTGTTTCTTAGATGTGTTGGTGGTGCAGAATAGGGTAGAAGTAATTGCTTTGATTACACTTGAGCCTGCAGTGGTATCAGGAGCAATTTAGCTGAGATTCATACAACTCCTTTTGTGGCTCTCCTTTTGGGTGTTTCCTCTGCTTTTCTTAGCTTACACTGCCTCTAAATCTGTAACAATGCACATGCTTAGGTGGCAGGTTTAAGCACTCAGTGAGTCTTTTTGGATGGAAATACTCCAGCTCTTTCTGAGAGAATTCTCTTCTAGACAAAATGACAGTAGAAGAGAGGCATGGGATCCTGGCATATGAGTGGGGAGCAAAGTGCACAAATCTCAACAGTTCAGAAACAAAAGTCCCACCAAGGTGTCAGGCACAGTTTGGGATGGACCCTGGCTGGAACTTGAAGTGTATTGCAAAGCATAGACAGACACACTGTCAGTCTGTGCTGTGAAGGACATGGGGGAAAGGTGACAGAAAGTCCTGAATCTGGGAAAGAGGTGGCTATCTCCTTCTTACCACGTTCTTCTAAATAAGTGGATGTAAAAAATACTATTAAAATAAAAATATGAAAGGCAGAGGTCTCCTGTTCATGCAGTACTTCAGCCTGCACAAGCTAATAACTGCCCAGCTCTCTTGTGTGAAAACATGGGATTGCAGGAGTGTGGTGAGGGATGTGATGGAGCAGGAAACTGCACTGGAGGGAGGCACTGCTCCATGGCAGCCCTGGGGGGACATGAGCAGGGACAAGGGGAGAGTGAGAGCCAAGGTGGCTGTAGAAAAGCAAATGAAAATGGAGGGGAGAAATGAAAACTGGGCCAGGAGTGAGGGTCACATCCAGCAAAGGGGCAGAAGTCCAAATGGGAAAATTGTGTGGGGTTTTGGGGTGTTTTGTTTTTAGTGTGATTTTGGGCATTTGATGGGTTGGTTTTGGGTATGTTTGGAGATTTTTTTGGTGGGGTTTGTTGTTTTGGGGTTGGGTTGTTTTTTGGGGGTTTTTTTGTTGGTTGAGATTTTTGTTCAAGACAGTAGTTTAATATCAATCTGAAAGTAGGTGAGCAGCTGTATATTCTATATAGTCAGTGCTTTTCAAGACAATTAGTGGCTTTACTTTTAGTGTATTCAAACAGCAGCTGCTTGTAAATTTACTGTGACCACAGGTAAATGCTTGATCTAGCCTCTACCAGCCTCAAGCTTCCAACAAAGGGCAAATACCTAACGAGAGGAAAAACATGAGAAGATACTCTGTCAAGGGCCTTGAAACCTGAATAGACAGGATTGATTTGGTGGTGCAAGTCAGATTTGGTTATGGCTTGGTCAGACCCAAGTCAGCACCAGAATTTTAAAAGCAAAACCAAAGCAGGTAACTGTTATGTACACAGAAGGCCCATCTGGGACTGGGCTGTGTCCTTGTATATACATGCAGATCATGCTTCTGTATCCCTTGGTTTATACATACAGAGAGCTACTTGCTCTTCTGTTTAGTACTCTGGAATTTCAGCTTATGCCCATGAGGCTAAAGCAGGGAATGCAGTGCTGCTTTGTGAGGAGATGATGTATTTCAGACACCATGCTGTCTTCTGCAGTGCCTTTAGGCTGATGTGGAGACAAACTATTTAATGTCCATGTTTTATTCAAAGTACGTGTTTTGCAGGATATCTAGGCTGACGTGGAGACAAACTTTTTTATTTAATGTCCATGTTTTATTCAAAGTACATGTTTTGCAGGATATTTGCAATCGTCCAGCCTGATTGGACCATAGGTTTTGCTACAAAGTCATGATGTTATGTCAGTGCCGCTGATTTTGAACAGTAGTTAAGGCAAATCCCTGTAGAAGCAGGTGGAGTAAGGACATGCCTGGGAGCAGAATGGGAAGTGTGTTTCACTTGTGTTTGCCACTGGGAAGTGTTGTGGATCCCCTCCTGCAGGTGAGGCTGCTCCAGTACTGCAGTGCTCTGCAGTGAGTTCCATGGATGTGTTCCTGTAGAATGGAGTACAGGCAAGAAGGCAGATCATCATTTCATTGCAAAGAGGAGACATTCAGACTGTAGAAATGTACTGCTTTAGAATATGCTTAGAAATAAAGTGTGGGTTTAATAATGTTAGGAAAGCTTTCTGTCAGGCAAGAGGAAAATGTTGCATTTTGTGCAATTCTTTGGAAGAGCTCCCTCTTCCAACTTGCAGCTCAGACTGTGATTGGAATTGCAGTGGTTAAGCAAATACTAACATTATTAGACTTGAAAACTCAACTTTAAATATTAATATCATTATCAGTAATGATACATTCATTCATGTTCTTTTTGCACTTACAAAGGGCTAAAGTTCTTGGAAAATGGATAATTGTGTACAATAGCACATAAAATATCAGATATTTTTCTCCCTGTTTTTAGTATCTGGTAAATATTGTACTGCTCTTGTGTACTTCTGTGAAAAACAAATGCTACAATAGTACAAAGATACAGTAGTACAAAGTTTAAATACTATGCTTAATTTTTATAGCCAGTAGGAATCAACTTGGTCAGCATTCATTCAAGTCCAAATGATCAGATGTTGTGGGCAATTGATAGCAAATGGAATGTCCATGTACGAGTTGGAATTACAGATGAAATGCCTGTTGGCACTGACTGGGAACATGTACCAGGTAAAAATTAATGCATCAGTTCCTTCTTGTTTCTGCCATTTTCTCAGTGGTTTTGTTTATGTTTTTTTTTCTTGTTGCTTTTGCTTTTTAAATTGGATAGTAGTGCTTAATTTTTTTTTTTTTTTTTTTTGCAGTCAAGTGTTTGATAAGGGTTATTTTTTAAAGAGGACCTTTGTTTTACTTAAAAACACTGAGTAGTTAACTGGAAGAAATACAATTTTTAAAATTAATTTCTGATGTGTTATTTCAGGCTGCTGCCACTCAATTAGTAAGTGGTACAGTTCCCTTTCAATTAAAACTAAAGCAGAATTCCTAAGCAGTAGGAAGACTGTTGTGCTGTGGGGTTTTGTATTTAATTGTGATGTCACATGAGGTTTCTTACCTATATGTGGGTAGCAAAAACCTTACACTATTTCTCACATCTTTCTACTAAGCCTGTGTGCTGGATATGTTGTGGATTAGGTAATTACACTTTTGCCTTGCCTAGAAATAAAATTTAGTTTTATTTAATTCTTTCTAAATAACTGTGCATTGATGCTGTCTGCTTTTTAAAGATTTCCCACTGCATTAACTCATGGCACTTTGCTGTAGCTGTGGAGTACTCTTGTGAAGAGGGAGCAAGAGTCCACAATGTCTGTAATATTAACCATTTTTAGATAAATTAAGATTGTAGTTGTTGGCTTATTCCCCATGTGGTATTCACATACAGTGAGAGCTCCAAAAGCATGTTATGAAGGTTCTCTAATTGGATGTTGCTTGTGGCTGTGGCCACATAACAAATTATATCCATGTTGGGATAACCCTTATGATCAATAGATGCAGGGAGTACCAACTCTGCGGTTAAAAACCTTTTTTGTTCACCAGTGCTTCATGTAAGAATATATAAAAACTATTATAGTCTTGATGTCTGCTCTCAGAGTACTTTCTGCAAGTGTATTTAGAGTCCAGGACAGCCTGATCATTCCCTCCTCATGTCCCACTCCTGTAGGTCTGCAGGCCTGCCAGCTGGCTCTGAGCGCCAGGACGGTGTGGGCACGCTGCCCCAACGGAGACGTCGCTCGCCGATACGGCGTCACTGACAAGAATCCTGCGGGAGACTACTGGAAAAAGATTCCTGGGAATGTCTCACGTTTAACAGGCAAGTTGGTGCTGCATGACAGTCTGTCCAAAACATTGGGATGTCTGCTTTGAGCTCTACCTGATGGTGCTCAAGCTGGCCATATGCAGGGAGAGCCACGCACACTGTGTTTCACCAAGGGTGTTTTTATCACATTGGTAAAAACCTTCTTTGGGTATAATTGGGAAAACAGATCCAAATAGTATTTATTCAGTGTTTAGAATTGGAACCTGCTACTGTAATTAAAAGATGGATAATTTATGCTTTGCAGTGACCCCTCTAGATGAACTGTGGGCGATCAGTACTTCAGGATCTCTGCTCCAGCGCCTCACTAAGACCTTTAGCCATTCCCATAGTTTGCAGAAAAATAATGACACCTCTGTTCTGCTTCACCCTGATGATTTAGAAGATGAATGGGAAGTGATATGAAGTCTGTCAAGCTTGTGAAGCAGTGAAAAAAACAGGAGGACAGTGTTTTTGTAATGTATGTACAGAATATTGGATCGAAGAGCCACTCATATTGGACCTGTGATATTAGCACTTTTGTATTGGAAAACTGACCTGTTAAATAGCCCCCAAGCTGTGAGTTCTAATGTTTGTTACATAATCTTTTGGGAGACTCTTTAGGTGTGGCATACTGCAATTGTTATACTGTACTACTGTAAAAGCTCCTTTGGAAATATAACTTTTAAGTTAACCTTACTAGCAGTGGAAGTGAGTACTTCACAACAGCATGCAACTAATGTACTGATTTTGAGAAGGAATTCTGTTGCATTAAATATTTCTCTACAGTGGAAACATCGAGCATTTCTCAATTTCTTCTTGTATTTGGAACTCCATACCATACTGATGGGATCGCTCCCTGACTTTTGTACATATATTTAGAATTATTTTTCCTTGCAGCATGGAAGAAAATATGGTGAAGTATTTCTTAGTAAGATCTGAGAACATCATGATTAGACAGTATTGTTAGAATGAACTTAGTTTGATCCATTTCCATATAAATAATTGTGAGGCTATACTAACCTTCCATTTCCAGAAATTTTGTTCATAATTTGGCTTCATTCACAAGGTAGAGGTTTGGATTACACCTAATATCAGGGGGATTTTTGCCCATTTCCATAGCCATCAGGAAGCTGACAGAGTTTTGGGGATGAGTCCCAGTTTGGAATAAGAAGAGGTCGCTTGTTGAGTTTGTAGTACAAAGCAGGAATGTACAAGGCAGTTTTCATAATTCCTGTTGTGCTGTATTTGTGCCTCCAGCCAGTGCTTTAACATTTGGACTCATTGTTTTGAGTACCAAACTTAGATCTATTAAGAATAAAATGGTAATTGATAGAATTACCTGTATATCCCATTAAAAATCATGATATTGTGAGAAAATACTTAACAATATTCTGACTTTTAGCTATGTTAGCTAAATTCTGAAGTGTCTTATACTTAACAGATGTTGCAACAGGAATATGTGATGAACTGGGAAGTAACCGAAGTTAATCATTGCAGTTTATTTTTCTTTATACTAAATCTTCTTTGAAAGATACCTCATCTTTTTTAAGCAATAGAACTATAGATGAGAGAACCTGAGTTCAGTATGTAGGCGGAGGAGTTATTTTGTGTTTGTTCTAAGCTTATAAATCATCAGAATGTTTTAAGCAGCTGCTAACCAATACTGTAAAAGAGCCAGCTTCAGGAAAGGCCAAGAGTTGAAAAGTGGGGATGTTTCTGTTTTCAAAACTTAACACAAATGGAAAAGGATGTGTTTTCTTTTTAACCTCTGCTCTCTTTCAGAATAGTTCATGCGTGTACTGCACTAAACTTGGAACAAACATGGTGCAAGGTGAGAATGTGAATTGGGGAGAGAGACGTTATGTCTTTTTTTTTTTTAGTAGCACTTGTGGCATTGGCTGTCAGTTCTCAGATGAATCTCAGTCCTACAGGAAGGACAGATTTATTTCCCTTTTACAGATTGTTTGCTTCTTTGCTGTCTCATCTCTATACAGAGATTACCCCAGAGGGATTCTTTTAGCCTGTCTGGAAGTGGATGGTAAAGGAATCAGCTTGTGAAGTAACCCAGTCTGTTTTATGCAAGCATAGCTTGGTGTCTTGAGGACCCCAAAGAAGCTGAAATTCAGCTAAAAAGTATCTTATGGCAACTCCTGAGTCAATCACTTTGGAGAAAGGACATGAGAAAGAACAACTTCTCTGTGCTCTCCAAGCACCAGATGCTCCAGTACAATGGCATTATTTAACAGTAACACTTTTGTATTACATTTTTCAAAGTCATCTTAGTAATGGTTTGAGCTTGCTAGTTGTTTATTTACTGTATAATACTGTTCCTTGCTATGGTTGTTAATATTCAATTTGTGTCAAGAGCTCTTACAGACTACTTTTTAGGGTAGTTTCAACAAAATTAGGATGGGTTTTTTTACTTTTATTTCTGTATTTAGTTTTTTTTTGTTTTGTTTGTGCTTTAAGACAAAGTGCAATAAATTAGATTTTTAAGAAATAAATTACTGTGGTAAGACTCATCTTTTGTGTGATTTACAAGAGAATTCTCTATGTCTGACAGTCATCTTGTTGTGAAAGACTGTGCCCTAATGTTGCCCCAGACAGCATGGTAGTGACAGTGTAAGGACCTGAATACTGTGAAGTTTATTCTATCTATTTTTTTTAATTGTGACAGGGATGTCAAGCCAGCAAAATGTTCGTCATTCAAGCAAAGACAATTAAACACGTCTCTCATTTGAATATTATGCTTGTTGCATCCATATTAAGATAGTCTTGCTGTAATAGAAGTAAAAAAAAAATTATTTCCTTGCACGCTGAACAAAAATTGCATGTTGAATATTTTAGCTGTCAGTGAAAAATAAGCATTTGTGGTTCCAGCTAGAAAATGGTGCAGCAGAAAATGGTGATTGTACCACGTGTGCTGTAACTGCACCCTTCCTTGAATTATTCATTATCTGAGGACTTCCTGTGTTTCTGGCATTTTACTGGAACTGCAGCTGGGGTTTAAGAGAGAACACCTTGGCTTTGCTTCCCAAAAGAGAGCTGTTTCCTGGCTGAGTGGGGACCTGGGTAACTTCACACAAGAGAATGTAACAGTGATTAATGAGGCTTCTGACTCTTAAACACACTTCCAACCCCAGGAATCCTGTTCAGATTCAGATGGCAGTGTCCTTGCTAATTATCATAGCTTTTATCTTGACAAACTGGTTGAGCTGCTTCTCTGACTCCTGCAGGGAAATAGTAGTCTCCTTACAGCACTGGCTCCTTGTTATTTTGCAGGAGTAATCCTGATGTCACAGCTTAAGGAAGATGTCTGTGATGAGTTGTTGTGAAACCAGCTATCTTAGACAGATGAGAAACTCCTGGTTTTCTTTGTCTCACAGCAATAAAAATAGATAGGGTCATGTTAAATGGTACAGAGAAAGTCTTTCACCAACAAGTGTCAAAGAAAATACACGAGTTCCTTAGGTAAGGTAGTAGAACTGTTGATATGAAACAGTGCTACTATTAGGAAAATTACAGTGAGAAGCACTAAATGATGAACTTGGGTCATTGTCTAAACGTAGCTTTACTTGTGCAGTACAAAGCTTCACAAGTCTTCATCCTCCATTACCTGTTCCAAGTGTCTGATGGAATAGACCAGGATCCCCCCTTCTTCCCACACACTTGTGAACATCAGAACCCTGTAATTCTCCTACATTACTTTTCAACAGATGAGTTCTGCCAAGCTTTTCAAAAGCACTTGTGGGTTATTTCAGACTTGTGTAACACTCTGGTTTATATTTTTGCTTTTGTCTTGGAACTCCCTTTACTGAATGAGCTTTTGCTAGTTGTTTCAGCCATTTCTGGGTAGATTTCAAGGAACAACCTTGATACATGTTTTCAGTAAATGCTGTTCTGAGTATAAAGGCTTGAAATTCAAGTGCTTGTATGTCTATGGCTTATCCTGGTTAATTAGCAGTTAGTGAAGCATAAATTGTTCATGAAGGTACGGAGTTCTCCTCATTACTTTGGTGTAAATTCTCAGGTGTCCAGATTTTACACTAACTGGCCCTGTCTACATCCCATCCCTAATGTCAGGAGTAGAGAGGTAAGACTGGATTGAGGATTTCCAGCTGTATTTCCAGCTGTTACTCCTCTTGCACCTTCCTGAAAGCCAAAGTTACATGTTGGAAACAGTATTATAGTGGCAAGTAGCTGGGAAAGGCTGATGGATCCCATGCCAAACAAAGTAGATCACCCTGATTCTTTGATAATGAGTTATCGTAGTTAACCACTCTCACATCAGCAGGACAGAAGAGAACTTGAAATATATAGGACTGGATTTTCATTACTGGAAAGTGAAAGTTGAGTTGCAGTCATTATCTTCTGTGAATTACTACAACCAGAGCTCTACCAATAAAGATTAAAATGTCTGGATGAATGAAATTATCTCCCTAGTCTGCTGAATAGCAATATCTGGGTTTATCAGTTATGGACTTCTCACTGCTTGAAATTGAGATGGGAAGCGAGGTTTGGGTTCAGTGCAGGAAATGTTTTAGAATGTTCTGTGGCTGGTATCACACTAGAAGCTGAGTGAAATTACCGTGATGACTCCTTTGGTCTTTGAGTCTACCTGACTTGAAATCTATTTAAATATATCTATCAAATTGTTATATTAGCCACAAAGTTAAAATCCTGCTTGATGCTAGTGGAAGAAAAAAAGCATAGAAAAAGTAAAGATCTCTTTGAGAATCTTTGTGTTCTTCTGGATGGTGAACTGTTATATATGTATATGCACATATATAAAAGCTTTGATTTCTGTTCTGAAAAAGCTGATAACGAAATACCAAAAACATACTAAATCTTCCAAGCTGAAAAATGCTCTTTCCATTTTGACCCTCAGAAATTACTTCTACATACAGGGGTTTTTATAGACTGTGATTCTGATAGATGAATTGAATAGTACACAGCTGAATATCACTGAGTGGAGCTGCAGTTATGAATTAATCTTTCAAACATTATTCACTATTTCTGATACTGAAGAAACCAGTGACTTGTTTTTCCATTTTAATATACTTTTCTCATAACCTCAGCTGAGATACACTTAGAGCAGATAAAGGAAGGAGACTTCCATTTACAACACTTATGTTTTGAATCTCATATCCAGAGAAAATGTACCTAAAGATGTGTACGGAATTTTGTTAACGTCCTGTACTTACCATCTTGGGTTTGCACAAGTGACTGTGCTTTATTTGTATTCAGTGGACCTGCTGTCTAATCAGTGTGGGGAGCTTTTGCTGAGAGCTCTCTGCTGTTAAGGGTGTGCAGAGGTATCTTGTGTATGGGATGGAGAAGTGACACAGGTGTTAACATCTCTTGAAGCATGAAATGAGAATACTCAACAGATGACTCCTTGCTGAGGCTGTCATGCTGCTGTATTTTTCCCTAAATGTGGGC